AAGGGAAAATGGGTCTATAGTTTCAGTTTTTAAGATGAAAAAGTTCTAGAGATCTGTAGTATAATGTGAATATACTTAACACTAGTGAACAGTATACTATAATATGATCAATTTTATGCTATATATTTTTGCCACAATTAAGAATTAAAAAAATACTTCTGGCCAAGATGGAGGTATAGGTAGAGATACTGTGCCTCCTTGGACAAACAAAAGGACAACAACGATTTAAAAACAAAAAACAACCAGAACTGTCAAAATCGAACTGTACGGAAGTCTGACAACCAAGGAATTTTTAACTAAAGAAGAAACATCCATCCAGATTGGTAAGAGGGCAGAGAACACTCATGGCAAAGCGGTGGTGGAGGACTGGGGTGGGCAATGTGGCAGCTGGCAGACCCAGCAAAGTAGTGGATTGTGGAGCAGGGTGGGCAAGGCTGCAGCTGGCCAGCAAAGCAGCAGCTGGTGGACTGGCAAGACGACAGCTGGTGGAGTGGGCAGTCCCACATTCATGTGTGGATAAACCGGGAGGAACACCTGGGAACTTTGCAACCTGGGGCCCCCATGTGGGGAAATAAAGCCTCAAACCACTGATTGAAAACACCCGTGGGAGTTGAGGTGGCAGCAGGAGAAACTCCCAGCCTCACAGGAGAGTTTTGTTGGAGAGACCCGTGGGATCCTAGAATGTACACAAACCAACCCACCTGGGAATGAGCCCCAGAAGACCAATTTGCTTGTGGGCAGCTAGGGAAGTGACTGAAAACCGGCAGAGAGCAGAGCAAGTGGTATTGTTCCCTCTCAACCCCTTCCCCACATACAGTGCCCCAGAGCAGGGACATGGGTTGTCCTGCCCTGGTGAACACCTAAGGCTCTGCTCCTTATATGTACCAGTCACACTGAGACCAAAAAAAAAAAAAGGCCCAAATGAAAGAGCAGATCAAAGCTCCAGAAAAAAATACAACTAAGCAATGACGAGATAGCCAATCTATCAGATGCACAGTTCAAAACACTGGTAATCAGGATGCTCACAGGAGTGGTTGAATTTGGTTGCAAATTAGATGAAAAAATGAAGGCAATGCTAAGTGAAATAAAGAAAAATATACAAGAAACCAATAGTGATGGGAAGGAAACTGGAACTCTAGTAATTTGGACCAGAAAGAAGAAATAAACAGTCAACCAGAAAAGAATGAAGAAACAAGAATTCAAAAAAAAAATGAGGAGAGTCTTAGGACCCTCCAGAACATCTTTAAACATTTCAACATCTGAAATATAGGGGTACCAGAAGGAGAAGAGGAAGAACAACAAATTAAAAACTATTTGAACAAATAATGGAGAACTTCCCCAATCTGGAAGAAAATAGACTTCCAGGAAGTCCAGGAAGCTCAGAGAGTCCGAAAGGAGTTAGACTCAAGGAGGAACACACCAAGGCACATCATAATTACATTAGCCAAGATTAAATATAAGGAGAGAATCTTAGAAATAGCAGGAGAACTGGAGATGGTTACCTACAAAGGATTTCCCATCAGACTGTTAACTGATTTCTCAAAAGAGACCTTACAGGCAAGAAGGGGCTGGAAGAAAGTATTCCAAGTCATGAAAGGCAAGGACCTCCATCCAAGATTACTCTATCCAGCAAAGCTTTCATTTAGAATGGAAGGGCATCCCTGGCTGGTGTAGCCCAGTGGATTGAACATGGGTCTATGAAGCAAAGGGTCGCTGGTTCAATTCCCAGTCAGGGCACATGCCTGGGTTGCAGGCCAGGTCCCCAGCAGGGGACACATGAGATGCAACTACACATGGAGGTTTCTCTCCCACTCTTTCTCCTTCCCTTTCCCTCTCTCTAAAAATAAATAAATAAAATATTTAAAAAAAGAATGGAAGGGCAGATAAAGTGCTTCTCAGATAAGGTCAAGTTAAAGTAGTTCATCATCACCAAGCCCTTATTATCTGAAATGTTAAAGGGACTTGTCTAAGAAAAAGAAGATAAAAAGATGTATAGTAAAATAACAGCAAACTCATGATCATTAACAACTACACCTAAAACAAAAACAGAAACAAACTAAACAAACAACTAGGACAGGAACAGAACTAGAGAAATGGAGAGCACATGGAGGGTTATCAACAGGGGAGTGGGAGGGGGAGATTGGGGGGAAAGGTACAGGGAATAAGTAGCATAAATGGTAGGTACAAAATAGACAGGGGGAGGTTGAGAATAGCATAGGAAATGTAGAAGCCAAAGAACTTACATGTATGACCCATAGATGTGAACTAAAGGTGGGGAATGTGGGTATGTGGGAAAGGGTGTGCAGGGTGGAGGGGAATAATGGGGGGGGGAATGGGACAACTATAATAGCACAATCAATAAAATATATTAAAAAACAAAAACAAACAAAAAAAGAATTTAAAAAATAAATGAGATGGAGTCATACCAAAGTAGGGTGGGATACTAATCCAGTATGACTGGTGTCTCAACAAGAATGTGGCCATGTGAAGACATAGCCACATAAGAAAAATGCCATGTGACAATGGAGACAGAGATTAGAGTTAATGCAGCTGCAGCCCAAGGAATACCAGATTGCCAGACAACTATCAGAAAGTAAGTAGAGGCAAGAAGGTATTCCTCTACAGATTTCAGAAGGAGCAGGGACCTGCCAACGCCTTGATTTTAGAATTCTAGCCTCCAGAACTTTGAGACAATAAGTTTCTACTGTTTTAAGCCATCCGTTTTATGGCACTTAGTTATGACAATGCTGGAATTTAATACAAGTGGGACTGATGCCTTTTTTTAAGAGGGAGGGAGGGAGTTGGAGAGAGAGAAAGAGAGAGAGAGAGAGAGAATACAGTTACCTCCTTTATGTGCCCTGACCAGGGATTGAACCCACCACCTTTTGGTGTCTGGGGCAATGCTCCAACCAACTTAGCTACCCAGCCAGGGCAAGGCTGATGTCTTTTTTTATTCAGTGCCTAGCACATATGGTGCTCAAAGGAGCTCCTACCCTTTGCAACGGCATGGATGGAACTGGAAATCATTATGCTGAGTGAAATAAGCCAGGAAGTGAAAGACAAATACCATATGATGTTACCTTTAACAGGAACCTAAACAACAAAACAAACAAGCAAGCAAAATAACCAAAGACACTGAAATATAGAACAGCGGGACAGTGACCAGAGGGGAGAGGGGAGGGAATTTCAGGGGAAAAAGGGGAAGGATTTACAGGAACTAGTATAAAGGACACATGGACAACAACTAAGGGGGGTGGAATGGGAGGGAGGTGGGGAGCACTGGGGGGATGGGCTGGGATGGGAGTAAAAAACTGAAAATTGTACTTGAACAGCAATTAAATAAATTTTTAACCCTGGCTGGTGTAGCTCAGTGGATTGAGCATGGGCCTGCGAACCAGACAATCGCGGTTCGATTCCCAGTCAGGGCACATACCTGGGTTGCAGGCCGGTTCCCTGCAGGCCAGTTCCCAGCAGGGGATGCACGAAAGGCAACCATACATTGATGTTTCTCTCCCTCTCTCCTTCCCTTCCCCTCTAAGGATAAATAAATTAAAGTCTTAAAAATAAAAATAAATAAATAAATAAATTTTTAAGAAGCCAACTAAAAGCCTGGATAAATTTTGATGCTATTGTTTTTCCCCTTACACCCTTCTCCCCAGCAATCACCACACTGTTGTCCATGTCTATGAGTTCTTTGCCCTTTTTGCTCAAGATACCGTTGTTACATTAATAGTTGAACAAAATTCACAAGAAAAATATATATTTACCCAAATTTTAAGTGTTCACAGTTATTAATTTTTCTGCTGTTAAGAATTAATCCCACTTCACACTGATGACAATGGCCATCATAAACAAATCAACAAACACAAGTGTTGGAGAGGGTGTGGAGAAAAGGAAACCCTAGTGCACTGTTGGTGGGAATGCAGACTGGTGCAGCCACTGTGGAAAACAGTATGGAGGTTCCTCAAAAAATTAAAAATGGAATTGCCAATTGACCCAGCAATTCCACTGCTGGGAATATACCCTAAGAATCCTGAAACACTAATTCAAAAGAACCTATGCACCCCAATGTTTATAGCAGTGTTATTTACAAATGCCAAATGCTGGGAACAGCCTAAGTGCCCATCAGTAAATGAGTGGATTAAAAAACTGTGGTGCATTTATCCAGTGAAATGCTATGCAGCAGAATGAAGGAACTCCTACCCTTCATGACAGCATGGATAAACTGGAGACTATTATGCTAAGTGAAATAAGCCAGTTGGTAAAAGACAAATACCATATGACCTCACTTATCAGTGTAACCTCATCAACAAAACAAACCAGCAAGCATAATAGAACTATAGACATTGAAATTAAGCACAAACTGACAGTAACTAGAGGAGAGGTGGGAGGGGATAATGAGGGGGGAGGGTTTTCAGGAACATGTATAAAGGATGCATGGACAAAATCAAAGGGGATAGAATCGAGGGTGGGAGGTGGGGATGGCTGGGGTGGGGGGAGTGGTGGGGGAAAAATGTAGACAACTGTACTTAAACAATGATAAAAAAATAAAAGAAAAAAAAAGAATTAATCAAAGAAATGTTTGCTCTTAGGGGGAAATTATTCAGCCCTCTCCTTTCCATTTTTGACTCTTCCATCACTATCCTCACCCAATATACATATACATATACATATACATGTACATATACATATACATGTACATATACACATGCACACACACTGCCTTGTCTATGGGGTTGATCTGAAAAAAGATACTAGTTCTCTCTTTCAGATATAGTCTGTACATGGAAAAACACTAGTAAAAAGTTAATGAATATTGTAGAGGTTTCTACAATAATTTAAGAAAATCACATGTAATCAAATATATATTTTGTTACACAACTGTGATGACAAGCATTTTTATAACAAAACATAGTTATAGATGTCATTTTGTGGGTGAATCTCTTGAGTAACATGTGGAATTGCTGGTATCTCTGGTTCTTGTGCTTAGGATTTTTCTTTCATTCTTGAGGAAAAGTATAAACATCCTTAGCATCTTCCTGGTATGCTTTAGGATCCTGGCCTTGGGGCCCATCTGCTTCTTGTTTTGGTTCTGGAAAACATTTTTTAGTTATATCCCTATTTTATTTTATTTAATTTAATAATTGTTCAAGTACAGTTTTCTGTCTTTTACTCCCATCCCAGCCCACCCCCCCATGCTCCCCACCTCCCTCCCATTTCCACCCCCCTTAGCTGTTGTCCATGTATCCTTTATACTAGTTCCTGTAAATCCCTCCCCTTTTTCCCCTGAAATTCCCTCCCCTCTCCCCTCTGGTCACTGTCCCCCTGTTTTCTTATATCTCCTAGTAGAGAGGTCTCCAGGTCCAGGTGTTTCCTAGTATAGGTATATATCAGATGGATACTCTTTAAGAGTAGATGATTATTGGATTGTTTTATGAGAGAGGGCTTTAGGCGCAGCAATTACTTTAGTATACAAGGTCTTTCTCGTAAAGTACAGACATTGTTAATATAAGGAGAATGGTTTGGGTGATATCAATGTAACTGGCAGTCAAGGAGTGTGGACTGGAATGCACATGTGTGAACCATGACAACTTTACTGTATTAGTCAGTGGGGGCAGTAGACACCATTGAGTGAGCAAGTGTACTGTGTGGTCATAGCATTCAAAATGAGTGAGCGAGTAGAACAACAAATCTGCATCAAATTTTGTGTTAAGCTTGAACATTCCTCTGTGGAAACTATTCGGACGATTCAGAAGGCCACATGTATGGGCAACTGGTGATTGGCAGCTTTGTCATGGCAATGCACCCACTCATGCATCACATCTCATACAAAGTTTTTTGGTGAAATGTGAAATGACCTACATGACTCAGCTCCACCCCTATAGCCCAAATTTGGTGCCCTGTGTGTTTTCTGCCTTTTCCCAAAAACTAAAATCACCTTTGAAAAGGAAGAGATTTCAGACTGTCAATGAAATTGAGGAAAATACGATGGGCAGCAGATGGTGATTGGGAGAACTGTGTGAGGTCCCAAGGTGCCTATCTAGAAGGGGATTGAGGTGTCATTATCCTATGTACAATGTTTCTTGTATCTTCTTTAATAGATGTCTATTTTTCATGTTATATGGCTGAATACTTTCTGGATAGAACTTGTATGCTTTATGAGAAAAGCATTCAGGTTCAAATGTTTTGTTTTTTTTTTTTTTTGTAGAAAGATCTTTAGGCACAGCTGTATCTTGTATTTTAGGAAAAAAGCTTTCAGTTCCAGATATTTCTTGATGTTGCTCAGTAGTGTCTTCATTAGGTTCAGCTCTTTTGGGTCTGTTTCAAGAGTGTAGCCTTTAGGCACACCTGGTTTGGTGTTTGCATCAAGAGAGCATCCTTCCATGTAAGCTATGTCATCATATGTTCTAAAAGGAAGGTTGTTGCCTATAGATGTTTCTTGGCACATTTTAGGAGAGAGGTCTTCAGCTTCACCCATATCATGACGACACATTTTGGAAGAATGGTCTTGAATTAAAGCTATTTCATGGCATAATTTAGGAGAGAGGTCTCTTAATTCAGCCCTATCTTGGCATATTTCAGAAGGGTGGTTTATTATTATTGTTTCTTGGTACTCAGAAGAATTTTTCTGAGATGTAATGCTTTCTTGACCTATTGCAGAATTTTTTTTATAGATACAACTCTTTAGGGGGAGACTATGGGGCAGACAGCTTTAGTTATAGTCCTAGTTAATTCATTTTCTTAATTAATTAATTAATTTTGATTTAATCTTTATTGTATTTTTCCATTACCATTTATTCCCCTTATAAACCCCCTCACTCCTGCAATTACCACACTGTTCTCCATGTCCATGAGTCCTTTTTCCTGTTTGCTTAATCATTTTACCCCTTACCTGCCCCACTAGCTGTCATCCTGCTCCCCATCAATGGGTCTGTCCTCATTTTCCTTGTTAGTTCAGTTCGTTTATTAGATTCCACATATGAGTGAAATCATATGGTATTTGTCTTTCTCAGACTGGCTTATTTCACCTAGCATAGTGTTCTCCAGGTACATCCATCCTGTCGTAACGAGTAAATTTTTCTTTTTTGCTGCTGAGTAGTATTCCATTGTGTAAATGTCCCATAGTTGTCTTCTCTACTCATCTATTGATGGATACTTGGGCTGCTTCCATATATTGGTGATTGTAAACAATGCTGCAATGAATATAGGGGTATAGGGATGCTTATGTTCTTTCAAATTAGTGTTTTTGGTTCCTTCAGATATATTGCTGGAAGTGGGATCGCTGAGTCAAAAGGCAGATCCATTTTTAGTTTTTTGTGATATCTCATACTGCTTTGTACAGTGGCTACACCGGTCTGCATTTCTACCAACAGTGCAAAAGGGTTCCCCTTTCTCCACATCCTCACCAGCACTTGTTGTTTGTTGCTTTATTGGTGATAGCCATTCTGACAGATGTGAGGTGGTATCTTATTGTGGTTTTAATTTTCATCTTTCTGATAACTAGTGACATCGAGCATCTTTTCATATGTCTATTGGCCATCCATATGTCCTCTTTGGAAAAGTGCTTATTCAGGTCCTTTGCCCATTTTTTAAATTGGGTTGTTTGGTTTTTGCGTTGAGTTTTGTAGGCACTTTGTAAATTGTGGATATTAACCCCTTATCATATGTATTGGCAAATATGTTCTCCCATTCTGTGGGCTCTCTTTTTATTTTGTTGGTGATTTTCTTTACGGCAAATAATATCTAGATGAATTAAATTTAATGAAGTAAGCCCTGGCTGGTATAGCTCAGTGGATTGAGTGCAGGCCTGTGAACCAGACAATCGTGGTTCGATTCCCAGTCAGGGCACATGCCTGGGTTGCAGGCTGGTTCCCTGCAGGCCAGTTCCCAGCAGGGGATGCACAAAAGGCAACCATACATTGATGTTTCTCTCCCTCTCTCCTTCCCTTCCCCTCTAAAGATAAACAAATAAAACCTTAAAAAATTTAATGAAGTAAATTTTATCAGTACTATTTCAGTATGTATTTCTATAAGTAAGGACACTTAAAATAACCACAATGCTGTTATTGCTTTAAAAATGTTGTAGTTTCTTAATATAATCAAATATCAGGTCAGTATTCATATTTCTTTTTTTCCCACATTTTTTATTGTGGTTCAAGTATAGTTGTTTCCATTCCCCTTCAACTCTAGCCATCACTACTTCCCACCCTTGATCCTACCCTCCTTTGGTTTTGTCCATGTGTTGTTTATAGATGTTCCTGAAAACCCTTCCCCCCTTTCCCCCATTATCCCCTCCCACCTCCCCTCTGGTTATTGTCAATTTGTTCTTAATTTCAATGTTTCCGGTTATATTTTGCTTGCTTATTTGCTTTGTTGATTAGGTTCTACTTATAGGTGAGATCATATGGTATTTGTCTTTCACTGTTTGGTTTATTTCATTTAGCATAATTCTCTCCAGTTGCATCCATGCTGTTGCAAAGGGTAGGGGTGCCTTCTTTTTTCTGCTGTGTAGTATCCCATATTTCCAACTGTCTCAAAAGTGCTTTTTTTTTTTTTGAAACATTGTTTATTTTTTTCTTTTCTTTTTTTAATATAAATTTTATTTAGTTACTTTTCAAGAACATTTTTTTTTATCTATTTCTCCCATCCCACCCCACCCCCCTGCCCGGTCTCCCCCCTCCCTCCCATTCCCCCCCCCCCAGTCCTCATCTCTGTGTCTTTCATACTTGTTCCTCAAAATCCCTCCCCCTTTTTGACCAGAGGGGAGAGGGAAGGGAACTTAAGGGAAAAAAAAAAAAGGAAAAGTGCTTTTTTTTTAAAATTCCTTTTTAAACTCAAGATCCAAAAGAGGACCACATATTGTGATTATTTCCTTGGTGTCTTAATTATTTTAATCTATAGGATCTCTCTCCATCTCTTAATTTTTTCTTTTTATTGCTCACTTTATTGCTTACAGAAAGTTTCATGTGTACATTGGTTCTGAATCATTGAAAATGAAGGTGTTCGTATCAGAGATACTTAGCCCTGGAAGGCACCCTCACGGCCTAGGTCATACAAGTGATTGATGATGGACCTAGGAAAAGTGCTCTCTCCCAACTCTGTCTGGTGGTACTTCCATGACGGGAAGCTCTCTCTGTGCTACTCCATATCACTCTTGACTGTTTGTGGATTTCTTTGCAATGGGTGACAATTGTTTCTGGCAAGATAAACTTCCTTCTCCAAATGGAAGTGCAGCCACGCCTCCATCTCTTAATTTATTGTAATTTATTTGTTGAGGAAAGTGCATTCTTCATCCTGAAGTTTCCTACTGTATTTTGTTGATTTTCCATTGAGAAATACACAAAATCTGGTTGTCTATTTTAGAATGTTAGTCACCTAGCACTGATGATCAATACCAAGATAAATTAACTCATTAAGGGTTGCAAAATGGTGATGTTCTAATTATCACATCCCTTCTTTATTAGCTTAGAATACTTATAGAGAGTACAACTTCCTTATATCTACTATTTGATTACTGTGAGTTCCAGTGTATGTAGGATAAAATATATGAGTTTTTCTTCTATTTACTGTGTTTCAAAGTAATAAGTTAGTTTACTAACATCCTTCAATAGTGGCCAGTGTTTACCCTTTAGCTTAATTATGAATTCATGTGTTCAAGTATACAGGGTTGGGCAAAAGTAGGATTATAATTGTTTATATGGGAAATATAAATAATTAATAAATAATAATTAATACAAGAATAAGCTGTTGTCCTGGCTGGTGTGGCTCAGTGGATTGAGAACCAGCCTGTGAATGAAAGGTCACCAGTTCAATTCCTGGTTAGTGCACATGCCTGGGTTGTGGGCCAGGTACCTGGTTGGGGGCACGTGAGAGATAACCAACTGATATTTCTCTCCCTCTCATTCTCCCTCCCTTCCCCTCTCTCCAAAAAAAGAATAAACTGTTTTATATACTCACAACAGTAAACCTACTATTGCCCCACCCTGTGTTTGATAGACTTCAATCCAGTGCAGCTAATATTTTCATTGATACTGTAATTGCCCCATCTCTTACCACTGGGACTATTCAATCTGGCTTCTGAGTCCTTTGGAGATGGTATTAATGTCTTCTATCTTACATCTTTTCACTTTACTAATGGTTTTTGACAGAGAATTTTTTTTAATTTATGTAATTTATCTACCTTTTTGCTAATGGTTTTTGAGTCATAGTTACCTCAGTGCTATTTATTGAGGAACCCATATTTTCTTCTCAGATTTGAGATGTTTCTTTTACTTTAAACTAAACTTGTATCTCTAATTGGGTCTATTTCTGGATTTCTTTTTTTTTAATTTTTTTTAAATTTATTGAGTTATTTTTCAAGTACAGTTTTCTTTTGTCAATTTCTCCCATCCCAACCCCCCTCCGCTCCGTCTCCCCACCTCCCTCCCATCCCCCCCCTCCCCACAGACCTCATCCCTGTGTCTTTCATACTTGTTCTTCAAAATCCCTCCTCATTTTTCCCCTTAAATTCCCTTCCCTCTCCCCTCTGGTCGCTGCCCACTTGTTCTCTATTTTAGTGTCTTTGTTTTTATTCTATTTGCTTGTTTATTTTGTTATTTAGCTTCCTGTTAAAGGTGAGATCATATGGTATTTGTCCTTCAATGCCTGGCCTATTTCACTCAGCATAATGCTTTCCAGTTCCATCCATGTTGTTGCAAAAGGTAGTAGCTCCTTCTTTCTCTCTGCTGCATAGAATTCCATTGTGCATATGTACCACAATTTTTGGATCCATTCATTTACTGATGGGCTCCTAGGTTGCTTCCAACTCTTGGCTATTGTAAATTGTGCTGCTATGAACATTGTGGTGCATAGGTTCTTTGAAATTGATGTTTTAGGATTCTTAGGATATAATCCCAGCAGTGGAATTGCTGAGTCAAAAGGCAGGTAGATTTTTATTTTTCTGGGAAAATTCCATACTGTTTTCCATAATGATTGTACCAGTCTGCAATCCCACCAACAGTGAACTAAGGACCCATTTTCCCCACAACCTCTCCAACATTTGTTGTTTGTTGCTTTGTTTATGATAGCCATCCTGACTGGTGTAAAGTGGTATCTCATTGTGGTTTTAATTTGCATCTCTCTGATAGCTAACGATATTGAGCATCTCTTCATGTGTCTCTGGATCCTCTGTATGTCCTCCTTGGAGAAGTGTTTGTTCAAGTCCTTTTCCCATTTTTTAATTGGGTTGGGTGTCTTCTTAGAGTGGAGTTGTGTAAGTTCTTTGTATATTTTGAAGATTAAACCTTTATCTGAGGTATCATTGGCAAATATGTTTTCCCATACAGTTGGTTGTCTTGCTAATTTAATACTGTTTTCTTTAGCCACGCAGAAGCTTTTTATTTTGATGAGATCCCATTTGTTTATTCTTTCCTTTACATTCCTTGCTCTAGGGGACATATCAGTAAAGAAGTTGCTGGGTGAAATATCTGAGATTTTCTTGCCAATGTTTTCCTCTAGGACTTTAATGGTGTCATGGCGTATATTTAAGTCTTTTATCCACCTTGAATTTATTTTGGTGTATGGTGTAAGTTGGTGCTCAAGTTTCATTTTTTTGCACGTAGCTGTCCAATTCTCCCAACACCATTTGTTGAAGAGGCTATCTTTACTCCATTTGATGTTACTGCCCCCTTTTGTCAAATATTAATTGACTGTAGAGAGTTGGGTTGATTTCTGGGCTCTCTGTTCTGTTCCATTGGTCTATGTGCCTGTTTTTATGCCAGTACCAGGCTGTTTTGATTACAGTGGCCTTGTAATACACTTTGATATCAGGTATTGTGATCCCCCTACTTTGTTCTTCTTTCTCAAAAGAGCAGCTGCTATTCGGGCTCGTTTATGGTTCCATATAAATATCTGAAGTGTTTGTTCTATGTCT